GTGTTGGCAAACGTTAGGCAAGTGCTCTACCACTAAATTACATTATGATTTATTATTTATTTATTTCATTTATTCTAATTGAGCTTCCTGAATTTCTTGGAACTTTGAGTTGACATTTTATTATAATTGAAAAACTGTCGCCCAGTATCTCTTCTAATAGTCCTTTGTCCTGTTCTGTCTCCATTATGTTTGGAAATTCCAGCAGATACATTAGAGCATTTTATATTTTGCACACATTTATACATTTTATTTTTACTTTCCTTTGTGTTTCAGTTAGAACAGTGTCTACTTTCTCTTAGGGTTTATTAATCCTTTCTTTTTCAGTTAAGTCTGTCAAATGTTTTTTAGTTTATTTTTATGTTTTTATTAGTGCATTACAGTTATAGATAATAGGTTCATTTTGACATATTCATAAATGCATTAATATCAAATGGCTTTTACATTTTTAATACTTTTTAGTATTTCATTGGATTCATTTTCATAAATATTTTCATTAGAATAGTCACAATTTGAACTTATCTACAGATTCTTGCATCTGGATTATTTGAGTATGTTCCTATTGACTGATGACTTTTCTCTTGATTTGGGAGGACATCTACCAAATAGTACTCTCTATTGCATATCAAGATTTGAATATTTAGTTGAAATTTAGTGTTTTTATTAAACCCTCATCTCTTCTTACTTTCTTTTATAACTTTTTTAAAAAGTATTTAAGACATATGAGAAGGTATACAGAATAAAACAATGGACCCCCATATTCCTCCACAGCCACAGGGCTGCGGTTGCTAAAGATGATGTACAGAATCTCATTTTGGTAGTAGCTGAATTTACAATCTAAGTTGACCTCTCAGCCTCATAGTGTGTTTAAGTGAGGATACTGATTAGGAAAGGATGGTGTCCTGTAAGTTGGGGAAAGATTGTGTTGGAAAACTCTGATTAATCTAGGGACATGAAGTTTATATTCTGATGAATCTTCTTTGCCAGGGGAAGAGATCTCCACACACTCAACATAAGAGATCTCTCAACATCCAGTGAAAGTGACCGCTCATTCCGAATGTATTGCCTTTCCCACCCCATCTATGGGCATTAATCCTGTATTGTCTGAGGAAACCATAATGGCATCCTTTGAGGCAGTTTCTATGCAAGATAAAGCTAATCCTCTCCCCTCTACTCTCTTTTCCTTCTAGACCTATAACTTGATTCAAGTCCCAGCAGCAGTTTTCTAAAAAGTGAAATATAAGTTTTAGCCCATGGGGAGGTATACTGTACTCCAAAAGAATGACTTGAATTTTCTAATTTATATAGACAGAAATCCAATTATAGAAATGGATGCTGTAAGTCTGGTGTCAGATGGAAGCAACATAAAATTGGATCAGACTGAATTCATTGCCGAGATTCAGCATTGAATGTAGTAGCTGGGATAGTTAGAAAGGACAATAATGTTTGATTGGTTGGCTGAAATATTGATGGACAGGTTATTCACAGAGAGTGAATTGGAAATGACAGACCAGTCTCAGTTCAAGGTTTAATGAGGGAGTCAAAGGCCTGGAGAGATGGAATGTTAGAGCGAATTTGTCCTTTAAGACCTAGTCACTCACACTGAGAGGGCACAGGAAACACATTTGGCCAAGACTTTGAAAAGTAAGTTTGTGAGAGGAACACTGCTTTAAGAGTGTTACCAAAAGATAACAAAATTACAAGTGACCAATAAAAATACAACACAGGTTCTCTGATCTCTGACTCTGAAACCTTTTAAACTTTTCTTATCATACAACATTTTCCTTATGAATTTTGAGCTTTGAAATAAGTAATTTAATGTAGTGTTCTAAGAATTTGCAAGAAAGTGGTGATGAGGAAAAAATGTTACCCCCCCAAAAAAAAGGAAGAAAGGAAAGAAAAAGAAAGGAAAACAGAGAAAATCTTAAGGACAATTTTTTTTATACACAGGTTTTTATAGTCCAGAATATGTCATTTAGATCATCGAGAAAAAGCCAACTATTTTTTCCTCCTCAGGGTCATGAGGTTAAGAGACTTCAGAAGGGAGAGCAGTGCTACATCTTCCAAGATAAGTATACATAACCCAAAGAACATCAAAATAAAAAGCCCTCAATGCCACATTCCTATTTTAAAATGCCTATGGGAACCATGGCAAATAGCAACTTCATTGGTTTTTAGCCATCCCAGATTTTCATTAAAAATGACATAATGCTTTTGAAGCTCCCAAGTTGTCTAACTTTTACTATTCCAGAGGGCAATCAAGCTTCTGTCAGGGTCATAAAGGACTCTATAGGAAGGAAGGAAAATCTAGGACATTAAGGATGTTTTAAGCAATTAACTGTGCAATTACAAGTGTCATTATAAGAGGCAAGCAGATACTTTACTTCTGTTATGGATCTGATGTGAGGTATCTCCCCAGAAACTCCTGGTCTAATTCAGGAATATAAGAGGTGAGATGATTGGATTGAGAGCTGTAATCTAATCAGCCCACCCTAGTTTGAGTGGATGAACTGGGTGGTAAATGTTGGAGCATGGTTGGAGGAGGTGGGTCATTAGAGGTGTGCCCTAGAAGCATCCATCTTCCCTGTGGCTCCATCTCCTCCCTCTCTGTGTTTCCTGGCTGCCAGGAACAGAACAGCTTCCCTTTGCCACAGCCTTCTGCCATGATGTTCTGACCCACCTTGGGCCAAGAGCAATGGAGTTATCCAACTATGGACAAAAATCTCTGAAACTATGAGCTCAAAATAAAATTTTCCTCCACTAAGTTGTTCTTGTCAGATATTTTGGTCACAGTGATGAAAAACTGACTAATGTAAGTACATAAAATAAGACTATGTAATGGTGGAAGTTGAGATTTGGAGATGCTACTTTGCCAGCTTTGTATACAGAATAAAAGGCTATGAGTCCAGAAAAGTGCCCCTGAAAGCTGGAAAAGTTCAGGAAGCAGATTCTATCCTATGCACTCTAGCATGGCCTTGCTAATACCCAGGTTTGAAGCTGACATTGGACTTCTAATTAGAATTATTGTTAGTGTTGTTCTAAGCCACCAAGTTTGTGGAATTTGTTACAACATCCATAGAAAGCCCATACATACTTGATTTTACTTTTCTCTATCTTTCTGTGCACGTGTAAGATAATAGCTGTTGCAATCATTCACAAATATGCATATATATTCAATTATGTATATATTCCACATATAGAGATATATGTTGAATATATTGGTATATATTAAATTTGTGTGAAAACATGTTCAAAATTATCTGATTCAAAATCCAAATTCCTGCAAGGAAGGTATGATTGGTCTAATTGTAGTGTTCACTCCTGATTCACTTATTTATGAAAAGAATGAGTTAGCAAGAAGTCATATCTCCCTGTGTCCACAAAGCTTCAGAGAAGGTATTGTGAGGGGGCTTTACGAAGTATGTGGAAACACGAGAAAGACAAAAGACATCTCTAGGAGCAAAAATAGTCCTGAGTAGCATGGTCACTGACTATCTGCTTATATGGACAAAGATGGGAGCCTTCAGAGTTGGCATGGAATCTCCTATAGAAGAGCATAGAAAGGGTGCTACCTGAAAAATGGATTTAGGATATTATAAGAAATCACAGTGCATCATAGTGAACAAATGTTTAAAGATCAAAAATAAAAAAAAACAATGACTCTAAGAATTAAGTAGTCACATCATTTTCTGGAGATTGGGGAGAGGATAATGAATAAGGGGAGGTACATTTGATCAGTGCATGCTATATGCATGTATGAAAATATCACGTTGAATCTCATTAATATGTATAATTGATACATGTTAATATATATTTTTTAAAAAACTAAATTTAGTAAACTGAGAAATGAGTTTACAATAACCTTCAATAATAGTGAACAATGAAACATCAATTAGAAATAAAATGTTAAATTGTTTATATTTGAGTAGCTTTGTCAAGCCAAAAGACACCATAAATAATGTTAAAAGCCAAGGAATAGCTGAGAAAAGATAGTTGCAAGTAATATTACTGTTAGTATTAGTTTTTAATACATAAGAAGAACAGCAAACCAATAAGAAATATTTAAATGATACCTTAGAAAAATAGCCAAATAGTGCTTCACAAAAGAGGAAGTCCAGATGCTCAATAATTGAATGAAAAGGTGAGCAAACTCAATAATTCAAACAATCAAAAGATCAGTTTTTGATCTTTTGATTTCTTTGCAATGGCAAAGAAAAACATCTCACTTACTGCTGGCAGGAGGGTAAATTGGTGCAATTATTTTTGAGATGATTTTAACAATATTGAGGCAACTTCAAAATAAAGATGTTCTCTGATGGAGCAATTACAGTCCCAGTTAAATACAGAACAGTAGTACATTGACAAAGGAAGCTATGTATAAGAATATTTAGTGTAACATTGTAACAAAATGAAAGGAAATGAGTAAATGTCCATCAACAATAGTATGAATATTTTACTTTTTACATCTACTTTGGAACGCCTAATAGTTTAAGTGAATTATATAGAACTAAACTCATTTAAGTCTTATATAGAACTAAACTCAAGAGTTGATGAATGAAGAAAATTCCAAAAAGTGATGTATATGTTATGATATTTAATAATTTTCATAAATTTGGAAAGCTAGTCCCTATAATTTTTATAGATTCATTGAAATAAAAATGTTAAGATTATCTTGATCATTTTATATTGTGCATTATTATTATTATAAAAGTGTGTTATTATGGGAAACAAGGGAGGAAATGAGATTAGGAATATATTTAGAAGAATATCATTTATACCTAGAAATTTAATTGAAAAACTTCTAGTAGAAATAATGGAAACAATATGGGGTGCGATGCTAACTTTTCGTTAAGAGGAGTGATGTGTACACAGGTATTTATTATATTGCTTTGTATTTTTTCTTATGTTCAAAATATTATAGGATACAATAAAAAGTAGTATATGTCATTATAAATTTTTGTGAAATATAGAGTTTACACAAGTATTATTTATTTGACATTGATTTTTATTAATAAAAATTGTAGAGAAAGCTATTTGTTTAGGAGGCTAGGGTTAAAAAACTCATTTGCTGAATCTTTTTACAGATCCCCAGCCCACTCACAGTTATTTAAGTTATGCTGAACACAAAATACAGCACACAGAAAGATACAGGTGGGTGTACACTGCAAAATATGGATCATAACATCATAGAGCCCAGGTTACACGACGGGCTTGGACATGTGATCTGTTCTCAGTGTCTTCCTTTGAATCATGGGAGTGCACACGGACGATGCTACGAGGCATCACAGTACGTTCTGGAAGCGAAACAACTTGGATGGAACTCCCAGACAGCTGTAGATCTTTGGCAGATTTTTGGATTTTCAGGCAGGTACAGCTATTTACAAACACCTTGTATTCTATGAAAGAGAGGACACCTAGGGAAAGCACAAGCAGGGGAGCAGGATAAAGGAACAATGAAGAGTCACAGAAACATTTCCCTTTATGTTGACAGAAGACCTGGACCCAAAGCCTGGTGGATCCCCACCAACTACCCAAAGCCATCAGGTAAAAGGGAATGCTTTAGTGGAAGAGACTGAAAACACATGCATTAACAGCTTACATGCTTCTCAGCTCAAGAAAATTGAGAATTCTTTTTGAAAGAAGATGTACTTCTATCTGATTTAGGGAGAGCAATTTTCAAAGAAATTTTATGAGGAGGATCTCCTTTGAGCACCAGACACTGCTTCTCTCTTCCCTCAAACTGCTTAGGCACTACACTATATTCCCAAGGTCACTGCCCCTCTCCATACAATTGAGCATTCCAGTCTCAGCCACTCTCCTGGGTGGTGAGCATGACGGTTATCTCTTCCCTAAACTGGGGAAGGTATGAAAGATGGAAGAAAAAAAATGGAGCACAGTGAACACTTCACCCAGGCCTGGTTTCCAGCTCTTTCCTCATAGGAGCTGTCTTTAGAGAATGAGTTCAGAAGATCTTTAGTCTTGTAAAAAGCAAGGTTTGTACCTTTTGCTCCATTCCACTGTCCCATACTTTCACCCTGACCCCTACCAGGAGTGGAAGGGTTCCCTTCACTCTTTAAGGACCCCCAGGACACTCACTACAGGCTAGAAGGAGGATGATGGTGAAGTAGGCAGTGGCAGCGACCCAGGTGATCTTGAAACTGGAGAAGTACACAGTTTTACCTTTCCTTAGCATACCATCATACAGTAGAAGTGCACAGAACAGCAGGATACCTGGTGTCCAGAAAAAAAAGAGAAGATGGTCTCAAATCAGAAACTTTGATTCCTTTAACTCTGCACCTGACATCCCAGCCTCCACCCTCTCCAATTGCATCTTACCCAAAGACTGGTATCAATTTAGTGTGAGATCTAACACTGCACATATCAGAGAACTGGGAAGGCCAGCTGGTCAGAGACTGTACCATGGGACCTACAAACCTACTATAACTCCACACCTGTGTTAGGAGAGCTAGTTACCTGTCAAGAGACTGAAGAGGAAAATGATGAGGTAGACATATTTATTTTGAGGAATAATGTAGGTGAAAAGCAATCCCAAGATGAAGTTAGAGGTGCAGGAAGTGATCAAGACGGTTAGCATCATAATCCTGATAATTTTCAGGCCATCTGTTGGAAAGCAGAAGTTGCACTGAGAAAAGGACACATATTTCTTTTAGACTCATTTCCACCTGGGACCCACATATCTCTAGGTAAAAAATGAGAACAGGGTAAAAGATTTGATTAAGTAACTAAGAGAGAAAGAGGAAGAGGATGAAGAGGCAGGTGTCTTTAGGCTGGAAAAAGGACTTTATAAGCTTCTTTCTCATTCCCCCCCACCCCCACCCCCAGAACTCATTTCTTATCAAATACCTTAGTTGACCTGTCCTTATATTATAGGAATATAACCTATATTCCTTCTTGTCAGTTACCTTCCTTTTCAAATAACCCTTCTAATCTCATTGTTCTAACCACCCTGCTGCCACCAAGTTTTCTCAGTTATTTAGCAATTAAGTCTCTAAGCTTCTAATGTTTTCTCCTAAACACCTAAACTGTGAGAGTTTAGAGTCTGCCCTGAGTGTGTTGATTATGGAAGTGGGCACACACTGCAGCCTGAGGAAGTTGCTCCACAGAATACTAGGTAAGTTGATGAGATGATCAGAGACGAGAACAATGAAATCTTCCTCTTCACCCATCAATTTTCAAAGCATAATTCTGACCTTCTGGCCAAACAGCAGTACAACACGTCATCCATGGATTGTGGATAGTCTCATTGTTCGTTGTCTGGTTGTTTGTTGCCTCGTTGTTTGTGGTCTTGTTTGCTGTCTCGTTGTTTGTTGCCTCGTCTGTTGTCTTGTTTGTTGTTTTGGGGACTAACTTAATCCATTCCTCCAAAATGACTCCTACTATCAAGAAGAGTACTACCCAGGAGGACACGAGTATATTGATGGCTTGGATATGCCTCGATGACACAAGCATTATTTTGGGTGGAAATTTCTAGCTGAGACTACAACAAATATTTCAAAAGTCTCTTTGATAAGTCACAGGAGAAAAGGGAAAATCTGGACTTTTAGTGAATACTGATACATGGGCAGTGGCAGAAGCTGAAGTAGGCTGTGGAACAGAGAAGATAACTTCCTCTCTTTACCATTCCTATATTGAGGGTGGTCTGTCGCTAGGCAACAAACTGCCACGGAATCACCTATTGGTTTGACCCTTGACCCTGGGGCCTATGAAGTAGAAGGACCAAGATGCTCAGAGGGGCTGAGAGAGCTACCAGACATAGAGGGAAATCTGATATCATACCCCCCCCACACACACACAGAAAGAGGTGGGAGGGAGGGAGGGAGAGAGAGAGAGACACTGAAGGAGAGACTGAGGGAGAGAGAGACCTATCAACAGTAGGGATGAACAGAGGCCTTGAAAGAAGCTAGACACTCATGACTACAGCAGTTCCATTTTAGAGTTAGAATTACCAATTCCAGGATTAGTTGACATGCAGCAGGCTTCTGTGAAGAGGATTTCAAGATCATTTGGATGAGTAGTCAGCTAGCTAGCTAGCACCACTGCAAAAGGAATGACCATTCCAAATATAGTATAGAATACTTTGAAGAAACTTAGGATCTTTTTGGCATTTCCCAGCCTGGTTTATTTAGTGAGGCTGTCAAGAAATAGACCAGTGCCTTGATATCTGAAGAACTGGCCCGATACACTGGGCCATTGTAGTCTAATATCACTTACCAGGTATAGACCATCATTTCTTGGCAGAATTGCCTTTGTAACTTGTCAGAGAAAACATTTTTAGATTCCTTGAGTATGCAACCATGGTACACACTAAGCAGAAACTGAATGCTTGTACTGAAATCCCCCAATTTCCTTTTACTGAATAAACAGGAAATCTTCTCCAAAGGACCCTTTCTGCCTATTATTGTTTTGACCTTGCAGGCCACTTTCTCAGGGTCAAAATGGCTACGTTGTCTCTCTTCCAGCCCTTTCTATACATCTTTTTGTTGTTGTTGTTGAACTGTGTATTGAATCCAGTGGTGCTATACCATGGAGATACATCCTCAGATTTTTTTTTTTTTTTTGAGACAGGGTCTTGATAAGTTTTTGAGAGTATCACTGAGACACTGAGGCTGATATTGACCTTGTGATCCTTCTGCCTCAGGCTCCCAAGTTGCTTGGAATATATGTATGAGTCCCTATGCCCAGCTTTTAAACTTTTTTTTCTCTGATTATATATATAATTTGTTCTTATTCATTATATATTGTAGTAGAATGTATTTTGACATAAATACATGAAGTACAACTTCTCATTCTTCTGGTTGTACATAATGTAGAATTACATTGGTTGTGTAATCATATATGCACATAGGATAGTAATTTCTGGTTCATTCTACTGTCTTTCCTATTCCCATTCCCCCTCCCTTCCCTTCATTCCCCTTTGTCTAATCTAAAGTACTTCTATTCTTTCCTATCTCTCAATTATTAATTCAGGGTTTTTTTTGGTTTTTAAGTTTTTTGCATCATTTATATATCTTGGAGATTAATGCTCTATCTGAGGCACTAAATATCTTTTGATAGTGTATTTTCTTTACCTTTTAAATTTATAAATAACAATGCTCAACAATGTATTTAATCTTACAAAGGAGTCTTTATGGTGAAGGAAATGGACTTAGGATCCTGGGTTTCAATCCTGGGTCCACTTAGCAGACATGTGATCCTAGAGATAATAATACTACATAATACTTTTGTAAAGATTAAATGAATTTAGAGATGTTACGTGCCAAAAGATTTCTTTGCAAATAGTCAATAACGTGTAAACCATTACTGTCATATTAATTTAGGTTTCCTGGGAAAGAGACTGGGAGGGAAATCGGTAGTGGGGCAGTTTATTGGGAAGTACACCTGGGGACCACATCTGTGTTTAAGGGCAGCAGACTTTAATTGGAAGTTGAACTGAGAGGTACTTGGCAATAGAAGAAACATTAGCCAATCCCATCAGTAGTGCTGGAACCTGGGTCATCCATCAGAATCATTCTGAACAGAGGCAAGAGAGCTAAGGTTGTTTTATACCGGGCATCAGATTGTCTTTGAAAGCAGGCTACCCTGGGGTGAGATCTCCCTTCTGTTTCAGGGGCAATTCCTAATCTCTCAGGAATCACAAGCCTCACAGTGATTTCTCTACTGTAATACAAAGCTTGCTGTTTGAGTTGCCAACTACCATGGAATCAATCATCTATTGCTTTGATCCTTGATCCAGGGGGGAGGACCTTGAGGGTAGACAAGGCAACTCTTATGGTTATGTTTTTGCCTATTGATGATTTTCTTTTAAAGCTATAGATTCTTATAAGTACTTAGGAAGATGTATGTCTTTTAAATTATTGTTTCTCTTTTTCTTTGTATACTCTACGTTTGGTATATGAAAATTGCTGCTGTGTTATTTGGGACATAGATATTTGTAAATGTTTTTTATTTTCATTGTGAATTGGAGCCATAATCTTTACTTGTTTTTGTTACTGTCAATTAACTTGTAGTCTGATTCTACTTTTTTTGGCATTAAGATCGTGACTATTGATTTCCTTTTATTTGCATTTCCCATGAATATTTGTTCCTCCTTATTTTTAGCTTATTTGTGTCAGTATATTTTAGTGTGTACTTTGTATGCAGCATAAAATTGAATTTTTCTTCAGAAACCCATAAGAAAGCACTTTAAAAACTATACACATTAAGTGCATTTACATTCAATATTTCACTGTTTGATATATCATTTTATATTCATTTTCTTCAGCATATCTGTATTTGATAAATATGTAGAATAGTCACTTATTATATAATTTCTGTGCTATTTATTTTTAAAATATTTTTGGCATTTAGGGAAACAGTTTTAATCTAGACCTTTTTAAAAACAACTTTTACTTAATGCTCTTAAATCTCTTTACTGCAGATATTTTTTGGCTTTCAACTCTGAAGTAAAATAAAATGAGCTCATGATGTCTTCTTGCCTATCTCTGCTTTTAGCCACCCAGTTTTAATTGAATGTATTATCTTTTGAACGGCTTATCTTTGTACTCTTAAAGATAATTAGTAGACTTTTACTATACTATTTTAAAACTTTCCTTTAATCTCTAACTCTTATTCATGAGGTAGTCAGTGACTTTCAATTTCCTTACTCTTTTCCACTCTTCTTGACATATTTAAGATTTCATTATATTTAATTTGCAAGGGCAGGTACAGTTCTTCCACCTAACCATTCACCTTTTATTTTCATTATAGATCCACAGTTATGTCCAATCCTTATAATCTCTTCTTGCTGACGGTCCCTCACTCCCACCCCCCTGTCCCCACACACCTGGAGCCATCTTTTAGGCAAATCAATTCTTTGATAAATATTTAATAAGGGCAGATGGATACAATATTCTGTGCTTACATGCTTAAAACTGTTTTCCAAGTTTTGGTACTTACAAAATTCTTAGCTAGGTATAATATTCTTCATCCACACTTTCTTTTTCTGAGTAACTTTTTTAGTGTTTCTTCAGTCTTTTGCTTTAAAATGATCTTGTCCAGAAATTTGATGTCCACTTATCTTTTATGTTTTGTTTTTGCCTTTGTAAGAGACTTGGTATCTTTGCCAGGAAATGCAGAGGATTTTTTTCTTAAGCTTAAATTTTGATATTTTAAAACATGTTTTGACATTGTATATTCTGGTTCAATTTTTTTCATTAACTAAATATATTACTTTTAATGGAGCTTAAATTGTCCATTTTTTTGCATTACAATTCTTTATACACATATATACCACAATTTTTCATATCTCTGTAAATAAGGTATGTTGACACCAAATTAAAATCTTATTCTGGTTCAATTTTTACAGGTTTACAATATGCCTTTTTAGCATGTAGATGCAGATGTTTTATTTCAGGAAAAGTTTTGTGATTGAATATTTATTTGTTTAATTTATTTTTTTCTTCTTTATGAAATCCAATTGTTATATCTTTTTTTTTTTTGGCCTTTTCCCAATAGCTGTCATTTTCTCTTGAATTCTTTTTTCTTGACATTTATTTTTTTATTTTTATTTTTATTTACATAGAACAGCTCAATGCATTATAATTCATATTACACATATAGAGCAGAATTGTTCATATATCTGGTTGTATACAAAGTATATTTATAATAATTCATGTCTTCATACATGTACTTGGATAATGATGTCCATCTCATTCTACCATCATTTTTAATCCCATGCCCCTTCCCTTCCAACCCCTCTGCCCTATCTAGAGTTTGTCTATTCCTCACTTGTTCCCCCTCTCTACCCTACTATGAATCAGCCTCCTTATATCAGAGAGAACATACGGCATTTGGTTTTTCAGGATTGGCTAACTTCACTTAGCATTATCTTCTCCAACTTTGTCCATTTAGCTGCAAATGCCATGATTTTATTCTCTTTTATTGCTGAGTTAAATATTCCATTGTGTCTATATGCCACATTTTTTTATCTATTCATCTACGGAAGGGCATCTAGGTTGTTTCCACAGTTTAGCTAGTATGAATTGTGCTGTTATAAACATTGATGTGGCTGTGTCCCTGTAGTATGCTGTTTTTAAGTCCTTTGGTAAAGACCAAAGAGAGGGGATAGCTGGGTCAAATGGTGGTTCCATTCCCAGTTTTCCAAGGAATCTCAATACTGTTTTCCATATTGGCTGCACCAATTTTCAGTCCCACCAGCAATGTATGATTGTATCTTTCCCCCCACATCCTTGCCAACACTTATTGTTGTTTATCTTCATAATAGCTGCCATTCTGACTGGAGAGAGATGAAATCTTAGAGTGGTTTTGATTTGCATTTCTCTAATTGCTAGAGATGTTGAACATTTTTTCATATATTTGTTGATTGATTGTACATCATTTTCTGAGAAGTGTTTCTTCAGGTTTTTGGTCCATTTATTAATGGTTATTTGGTTTTTTTTTTGGTGTATAGCTTTTTGAGTTCTTTTTTTAAAAAAAATTATTGATTTTATCTATCTATTTATTTATTTAAATACACAACAGCGGAATGCATTAGAATTCTTATTACACATATAGAGCACAGTTTTTCATATCTTTGTATATAAAGTATGTTTATGCTAATCCATGTCTTTATACATGTACTTTTTTTTGCATTACAATTCTTATTACACATATATACCACAATTGTGTGAGGAGTAAGAATTTGCTCCCAAGAAGTAGGCTCTCTATTCATCTCACAGATTGTTTCTTTTGTTGAGAAGAAACTTTTTAGTTTGAGTCCATTGCATTTATTGATTATTAATTTTAATTCTCACACTATAGGAGTCTTATTAAGGAAGTTGGGGCCTAATCCCATATGATGAAGATTAGGGCCTATATTTTTCTTCTATTAGGATCTCTGATTTAATTCCTAGGTCCTTGATCCACTTTGAGTTGAGTTTTGTGCATGGTGAGAGATAGGGGTTTAATTTCATTTTGTTGCATATGGATTTTCAGTTTTCCCAGCACCATTTGTTGAAGAGGCTATCTTTTCTGCAATGCAGGTTTTTGGCACCTTTGTCTAATATAAGGTAATTGTAATTTTGTGGGTTAGTCTCTGTGTCCTCCATTCTGTACTGTTGGTCTACCAGTTTGTTTTGGTGCCAATACCATTCTGTTTTTGTTACTGTTGCTTTGTAGTATAGTTTAAGGTCTGGTATAGTGATGTCACCTGCTTCACTCTTTCTGCTAAGGGTTGCTTTAGCTATTCTGGGTCTCTTATTTTTCCAAATGAATAAAAATATGAAAAACTTCACAAATTTGTGCATCATCCTCGAGCAGGGGCCATGCTAATCTTCTCTGTATTGTTCCAATTTTAGTGTATGTGCTGCTGAAGCAAGTACTTTTTCTTGACATTTCTTATTTATATCCTATTTGCCTTTTATTGAAATTTTGGACTTATATATTCTGTTTTGGAAGTTTTGTAGTTTGTTTTATACCTGAGATAATTTTGCATTTTACTTCCTTTTTTTGGTACCAGAATTCTTTAGTTCCTGTTTTATGTCCACCTAATGCTTATTCAGTTTTATTCTAAGTACTTTTTAAAAAGAAACTGTTTGACATAACTTAATATTTAAAAAATCATGTTCACTGAGGTAAATTTACATACAATAAGTTCAACCTTTAAAGTGTGCAGTTTGATGAGTTTTTATAAATTTATGCAGTGATGTAATGATTACCATTATTCAGTATGTAGAATATTTTGTCACTCTGGAAAGTTTCCATGTGCTTTTGTGGTCAGCTCATCCCTTCTGATGAACAGTGATGTATTTTCTATTTTTACAGGTTAGCTTTTCTACAATGTAATATATATTGGATTCATGAAGAATGTAGCCTTTTGAATTTGTTTGTTTTCACTTAGCAGTATGTTTTCCAGATGCACGCGTGTTGTTTGAGTTATAAATATTTAGTTCCTCTTCATTGCTGAAGATAATTTCATTGAATGATTGTATCAAAATGTACTTATGGGAGGCAGGAAAGATGGTGGGATGAGATGGACATCATTACCCTAGGTACATGTATCCCTGCACATATCATATTGGTTGTTCACAACATTACAAAGCTCTTGACATATCATATTTCATACATTAGATTGAAGTGGGTTATGAACTCCCAATTTTACCCCAAATGCAGA